AGCTGAGGAGGAATTTACTGTCACCATGGTCAAAAGGTCCATTCAGAGAAATAAGAATATAACTGATCTCATTAATGTCTAAGCCTTTCTACATGTATGTTTATGTGCATATATGTAAATAAATGAAAGGTTGGGTGCAGAGCAGACTGCAGAGAAGTGTAGTGTTCATTTACATCACCAACAGGGACTGTAGCAGGAAAACACAGAGCTTGCAGGAAAAAATAGTTCATTCAGGTAACCTCTATTTCGCCTTGCTTCATTACTGAATCTCAGACTACTGCCGTGCAGTCACTGTTTACGCTGTTTCATTCATTGTGATAGAGAGCAGGGGTCATGATGAGCAGAAGGTTTGCAGTGGATAGGTCTTTCTTAGATGTGTGTTCCTGTAAAGAAGATTGCTCAGCCTTTTTTGCTGTTGCTTCAGTTGTCTTCACCCTCAACAATCTCCACTAGCATCAGAAACTAGTTACAAAAACACCCGAAACTTGTCCAATCTTGGGTGCTTGTAAACCTTTGCACACAACTAGAAATATAAAAAGTCAGGAACAGGACTCAAGTTCAATACACAGTAGCTGAGATAGTGATATACCATAAAAATAAAAATAGAAGACTACCTGTGTGGATTTTAAAAAACTGTCACACTCATCACCACTGAAGGAGTGTCTCAGTTACCATGGTGATGGGAAGAAAGGAAAACACTGCACATCCTCTCAGCTATCTGACTTTTAAACCCAAAGTCATCGTCAGCACTGCTCCACTGAATATAGTCTATTTTTATAATTGCTTTTATATTACTGTATATTGTCTGCTACATAGCAGAAGGGAGTTAACAACATAATTTAACTTTGTACCTTACTTACCTAATTATATTATATAGCATCCATTCATGATTAGATAGATAGATATCTCATTGCGTTTTCAAATAGAGCAGGTAGACCACGCTCTATGTAATTTTATTTACAAAGTGTGAGAGTGTTATTTACAGAGTGTGAGAGCTGGAAGCTGTTAGCTGATGCTGCTGCCTCTCCCAGCTGCTGCCGCTGATGCAGGCTACTGTGAATGATGAAAGCTGAAATACGTTCACAGCTGAAGGCTGAAAGAAATTGTAAAAGCTGAAATGGCTGACAACCCAGCTGATGTCAACTGAAATTAAGTGCTTTAAAAACTTGGAAGCCAAAATGTAAAACTGGAACTGGGAGCTGAAGTGCATTAGCTAAAGAAACGGTGAGCTGAAATTTGTTGCTGAAACAGCTGAAAGGCAAAATAATATACTGCCACAGCTGGTGGAAATAAAATGCTTTAAAACTGTGAAAGAAGAAAATCATTGCATTAATATCAGATCTAAAATTCACTAGCACCCTTTTAAAATTAAATTACTTTCTCTAGATCTTATTTTGAAACATCCACCTCATCCTGTGTTTCCAGTTTTGATACAGTTACTTTTTGGTGCTTTTATTTTGAAAAACTATTTATGTCTAGTGTCTTATTAATATACAGTGACCGTATATAGTCTTTCAAATTTCAACAAGTTGTAAAGTGAAATTGAGTTTGTAACTCCCTTCTGCTACACAGCAGACAATATATATTAATAAAGAATCAATTATAATAAAACAGTAAACAGAAATAATCTGTCATCAGTGGAGCAGTGCTGAGGATGAATTAGAGTTTAAGAGTCTGATAGCTTGGGGGGGAAAGCTGCTCTGCAGTCTGGTGGTGCAGCAGCAGATACTTCTATATCTTTTCCCAGAAGGCAGCAGGGTGAACAGGCTGTGGCTGGGTGGGTTCTGTCCTTTAGTATCTTTGGACTCTGTGTAGACACCTCACCTCACTGATATCACTGATGCTCAGGAGATGGGTACCAATGATCTTCTGAGCAGTTTAATCATCATGCAGAGCCCTCCGGTCCTGGGCCGTGCACGTCCCACGCCAGTTTGTGATGTTTCCAGTCGGGATGTTTTCTGTTGCTCCTCTGTAAAAGCTCACAAGAATGCGGCACGGGAATTTGACCGTCTTAAGCTCCCTCAAGAAATAAAATTTGTTTCTTCACCAGCGTGCAGATGTGAGACGACCATGTCAGGTTCTCTGTGAAGCTCATTTTCAGGAAGCTGAAACTGTTCACCTGCTCCACCTCAGCACCACTGATGTAGACAAGAGTGTGTGTCTTTATCTCCTGTTTCCTGAAAAGAACGATTAGCTCCTTGGTTTTGCTGACGTTGAGCAGTAGGTTGTTCTCTGAGCACCACTTTGCAAGATAATAAATTTAGTACCGATATGAAGTCTCATCGTTGTTTGAAATCCGGCCGAAGACGGTGGTGTTGTCTGCAAACTTTATATAGAGAGTTCTCTCTATGTCGTGGGACGCAGTCGTGGGTGTACAGCGCGAACACGAGATGTATGTGTCTGATAGTGTATGTGTGAGAGCTGTGTTCCAGCTCGCTAATGATTTTAGCAGCGGGGGCTTGCAATCAGAGTTAGACGTTGCAATGAATGTGTAGGGAAAAAAACATCACCTGCACAACATATTACTGTCACTTCTATGAGTTGGTGTCATCAACAGTAGCTAACCTTCCTTAATATATTTCAGTGGTAGTTAGGCCTAGTATGTGTGCTTATTTTAAATACCAGCAGAAGAGGTTATGCCTGGACGGACAAATACTTGTACTGTGCTCTGGTATTGATCTGTAAGTGAACACTGTTGTCTGCTCTTTCCTCAAGATTACATCAGTATCTTGTAGGAGCTCAGTAGCTTCTGAGGCTACATTTGAACCATGGTCTTGGTCTTATAGAGGTAAAATGTGGAACGTGGAACATCACTTCACATGATAAATGCATATAGTTCCCATGTGAAAACATCAGTTTAAAAAGCTATTTTTTGGAAGGGACACACATTTCACATGTGATATCAACATTTTTATGTGTAATAAATAAATTATATATGCACATGGTTTTCTAATATTTTATAAAATCTACATGTGAAAACCTATTTCACACATTCAGTTTTTCTCGGGGGCCAGCATTTCACAGCAGTGACAACAGTATGTCTCACATGATAAAAATTCACCATACTTTTTAAATATTTGACACTGGAAATGTAATATTGTGAACACAACAATTCCACATGTGCTATTTGTAAAAAAAATTCCACTCATATATGCGTTTAACGTGATTATATGGGCACATGTGGTTTTCAAACATTTAACACATGAAATGTCAGACATCATATGTATCAAAAACGCACAATATCACATGTACTTTTTGGTAAGGGACAAACATTTTGCATGCAATATCACCAGTGTTTTTTACATGTTTGTGCGTCCACACCTCTATTTCGGTTCATTTGGTCCGGACCAAGAAAAACAAATTTTACATTGTTGCATTTTAGTTCTGGTCCAGTTCCTGTTCGTGCTGACATTTTACAAACAAACAAGAGGAGGAAACATAAAGTTATGAAGACTGACAGGTAACACGTTGAGTGGACAGTTTTGGCAGTAATCCTGCATTATCAAGACAGGCGTGGGGAAATCTAATTCCAGTGACTGACAGAGATTATGCACCACTTCAATGCTTCTGATGTGTATATTTATTAGTATTATTAAACTGCAAATCGACTGCATGTTATGACTAATTACATGATGGAAAAAGAGGCATAATTGTACAATGATTTGCATAAAAATAATCCGGAACAGTGGATTTATTAGTAGTTCAGCTGTTGAAATAATGCTAAAATCACATATCTGCTATCAGAAGATCCTGTGGTTGGTTCATTTGTTTTCACATCAAACTGCAGCAGAGTCAGCTGGGAGGCGGGTGGAGACCAGCCCAAACGAACCTTACCATATGGTGTGCTCGTACCATATTTAAACTTTTACGTCACACAAAGGCATTTATGGGTTTCGAATATTTTACTTGTGATGATTATTATAATATATTCATGACATAGAAACATGTAGTTCTTTCATTCATATGTGATACTGTACATGAATTTCATGTTTTTGTGTGAAAAAGAAAAATGTTTTACATAAAAATATTATAATATTAGTTATTATGTTATAATAACATATCATAATGAGATCTATTAAGAAATCCCTAATCTAACATTTCTATCCTCATATTACTATGTGGTGAAATCATTATGCTATATACTATTAGTGAAAGTGTACACACACACTGAAAGTGTTTTCTACCCCCCTCACGCAAATATCTTACAGCCTACATACTGCTAAAACTCTAGCCAGTAGAATACGTCAAAGCTTTTAGCAATATTAAATGTTTTTTATGTCATGGCACAGTTATATTATAAACAACACCTGCCTGACAATATAGTTTTTGATTTATTTGTCTGCGAGAGACAACAGAGTCATAGAAATGAGCAACGTGCAGTGAGAACGAGCGTCTAAGGCTAACAAAGACAGATGGTACGTAAAGCAGAGGTATAAAGGGGAGGAAGCAGGAGGAGGAGGAGGAAACGAAATGAAGAATGGAGGAAAGAGAGGAGAAGGACATGGTAGAGGAGTTGTTTGGAAGGTGAGAGGGAGAAGAGAAGCAATAAGAAGGAGTTAGTAATCTCCCCAGCTGTTTGTGTGAACAGAGCTGATGTGTCAACTGATGGTCGTCTCTCCTTTTGTGTCCATCTATCAGCATCTCTTATCTTACTGAAAAAGCATGTGGTTTCCTGAAAGCTGGGCCCCGGCCCAAAGCCAGCCTGCCGAGCCTGAGAGGAGCACAGAGTCATTGATATTGGGGATTATCTCTTATTATGGTCATGCCTCACTTTGCACCCAACCAACCTCACATCACAAGACTGGGACTGCTGGCAGGCACGCACACACAAACACAGCAGCTTTACACATGCATCACTAGCCCAGCCAGTGTGTTTGAGCTCGCATGGCTCAAACACCTATCTCACACAATCAGGCACCCTGTCAGATAGGCCTTATCAGTAGGTAAAAGATGCCAAGCGCTGCAGAGACTCATCCCTCTTCCACTATTTTACCTGACAGGAAGAGCCATATGTGATGTTCAAGAAGTCTGACAAGCCGCTGTATGGGAATGACCGCTTTGAGGGCTACTGCATAGACCTGCTGAGAGAGCTGGCCAACATCCTTGGCTTCCTTTACGAGGTTCGCCTGGTGGAAGATGGGAAATACGGCACCCAGGATGAGAACACGGGCCAGTGGAATGGCATGGTGAAGGAGCTAATGGACCATGTGAGTCTTAAACATCATTATTAAAGAGTGCATGAATGTGATCCCAGCAAACAGATGTAAACATACACCTGTTCTTAGAGGATTCTGATTTATTAAACTTGGGTCTTATTTTCATAGTTCAGACCAATGGTTCTTATAGTTGTGATAACATTGTACACCCAAAGTTAATTGCTAAAATTTGGGAAGAGCCAGTCGTCAGATGATGATGAGGTGACAGGTTGGAAACACCAGTTTCTCCAGATTATCTAAACCACTTTATTTGGAGGTAAAACTAAAAGTAAGCATAAATGAAATGTCAGTATAACAAATCCAAACAATCATTGCATGGTAAAACTGAAACTGTGCCCCAGTTCCCTATAACATACCTAGGTGGATTTTATGTAGTATGTGCATTTAGAAAAGTTTAGATAGCAGTCAAAAAACCACTTGATTTCTCAGTGTACTGTTGATGTCGTCCCATAATACAGAGAATATATGAAAGAGCTGCTTACAGCTGCAAAACATTACAATAAATTGCAAATTGTGGTGATACAGCTACGTAAAAAATAAGAAAACTATTTTGATTTCATTTGTGAAGTTGAACTGGCAATGGCAATCTAAAGTTCCCTTTTTATTGTTGTCATATGGCACATGATTCACAGAGATATATATATATAATACACAAAAACAACCATAAACAAAAACAAAACAATTTTAGAAAAATAACATATGGATAGTTAAGATAAAACAAGATAAATAATAAAAGATAATACAACAATAAAAAATATGAAATACTACAAAAAATAAATTGATTAGTTAAACAGTAAAATAAATAATAATCATCAACATTAATATCTGACGTAATCACAGGTGTACTGGAACTTTGTCGTCACGGTAACAATAATAAACACATGTTAACGTGAAACTACTTGGTCAGGTACTTGGCCTCTCCATGAACTATCATCTTATCCTGGTGGAGAGGTTTGGGTGTCCCTATGAACCTGGTAGAGTCTCCCATAGCAAAGTGGTGTCAGGGGAGGGGCCAGACTAAGAAAGGTTCTAAAGGATCAAATCGAGAAAGAGGAGGTACAACCCTCTCTGGAGAAGGCCCAGGGCCCCCTTCTGCAGCCAGACCCAGAAGGAGGGCTTGTCTGCGAGTGCCTGGTGGCTGGTACAGCCACCCAACTGGGCACAGCCCAAAGAAGCAATGTGACACTGCCTTCTGCATACTATGGGCCCATGACCCATGGGAGGAACTGCAGAGGTTTGGTGTGCTGCCACATGCAGTTTGCAGTATTTGGCCTTCTTGGAGACCCTGAATGGACTCCTGTATTGGGCTTCAGTAGGGGACTCCATAATCCTGCTGGGAGACTTCAACACAGTCTCAGTGAAATATTATTTGTTGTCTAGTATGGGGTGGTGATCCCTTCCAATCCCTGTACATTCAAAGTGAGAGCTATTGATTCTTGGCAGTAAGTCGGACTCGTTCCAGGTGGTGGTTGGCCTACTCCAGGGCTGCACTTTGTCACCACTCCGGTTTGTTATATTAAAGGACAGGATTTTGAGGCACAGTCGGGGTGGAGAGGGGTTGCGCTTCAGTGGGCTTGGGATCTCGTTGCTGCATTTTGCAGATGATGTGGTCCTGTGACCTTCAGCACTCACTGGTTCGGTTCACAGCCCAGTGTAAAGCGACTGGGGTGAGGATAAGCACCTCTTAATCTGAGGCCATGGTTTTCAGCAGGATACTGATGGAGTGCTCACTCCGGGTAGGGAATGAGTCTTTAGCCTGAGTAAGGGAGTTCAAGTACCTCGGGTCTTATTCACGAGTGAGGGGACAATGGAGCGGAAGACTGGCCGGAGAATCGGAGCAGCAGGGGAGCTCTACCGCACCTTTGTGACGAAAAGACAGCTGACCAGGAGGCAAAGTTCTCGATCTACCGGTCAATTTTTGTTCCTACCCTCATCTGTGGTCATGAAGGCTGGGTCACGATCGAAAGAACTGTATCGCGGGTACAAGCGGCCGAAAAGGGTTTTCTCAGGAGGGTTGTTGCCTTCTCCCTTTGAGATAGGGTGAGAAGCCAAGTTATCCGTGAGGAACCCGGAGTAGAGTCGCTGCTCCTTCACGTCAAAAGGAGCCAGTTGAGGTGGTCCGGGTATCTGTTAAGGATGCTCCCTGGGCACCTGCCTAGGGAGGTGTTTTCAAGGCAAGTCCAGCTGGGAGGACGCCTTGGGAAGTAGGTGGAGAGATTATATCTCCACACTGGCATGGTCAGTATCACCCAGTCAGAGCTGATTAATGTAGACCACGAAAGGGAGGTTTGGGTCCTCTGCTGGAGCTGCTGCGCGCGCGATCCAACCCCGGATAAGCAGTTGAAGATGGATGGATACTTGGTTAAGTTGAGGAAAAGATCATGGTTTGGGTTAAAATAGGAATGGTACTTATGTAAGTTACGTACATAAGTTAGTTAATCACGTGACTTAAGTATGCAAATTAAATTATGTAACTTAACTCACATACTTACATCACATACATACTTATGCCGTATTAACTTAATTTATGTACTAGTAGATCATCTACAGGCCAGCAGATCAGAGTTTTACCGGCCCCTTCTGTATTATAATGGAATGGAAAAATGTCAATACTATCACTTCATCATATGTTCATTGTAATGATTAATTCAAACAACAAATAACTGATTAATTCTTCTTATAATTTTTAAAGCTTTTAATATACATTTTTTGATTCGATTTTCCCATCAAAGTGCTATTAAAACGCAAAGATAGGGAGGGACTTGATGCAGAAGTTTATTGACGTTTACAGTAGCCAGTAGCACTGACTGTTCGTTACACCCTCCACTGTGTCATGCAGGCTCTGTGCAGACTGGTTCCAGCTCCCAGTGAGTAAACACTGCGGTGGGACAGGGACCGAACACAGCCTCCCCGACAGACAGAGGCCATTTTGATGATAGGGAATACAGTTTTGGTTTTGGTTACCCAAAGCTTTTGTCAGCTAATAGGACCACTTGCTGTACAGCTAACTTACTCTATTGTAAATATTAACAGCAGTTATCAGTTCAGTAAAATGTAAAGCTATCCATCCCTCAAGAACTCTGTAAATGACCTCGGTACCTTATTCCCTGTTGGCCTTTGAGGCTGTGTTCGGGTACTCTGTAGATACTATCACTGCAAGGAAACGAGGCAAAGTAGCACTGTATCCAAAGGCATGACATGTGCCTATTTCCACATCCTGCCCTTCAGTATCTCTCTGTAGATTGCAGATATCCCTCCACCCCTCTTTCCCTCTCTGGACAAAAGGAAAAGATGTAGCTGGTACATAGGCTCAGTCAGTTTAAAGATAAGTGAAGTATAATGTATACAATTAATATGTAGAATGGAGTTGGGACATGTGTTTTTGTGGAACTACAGTAGGTCAAAGCTGAAGCAGGAATGTAAACTGTGATAGCTTTTTAGAGTAACCTTTTCTCCTCTAAGCAAGTTAACTGTTTACAATCTGTCTGATCCTCCGAGCTGTTGTGTTCTTGGCCCATCTGACTTTTTTGTGTAATATTGTAGTCTTTCCAGATCTCAAGTGACAGCAAGTAAAAATGATAAACTGACAATGAAAGCAACTGTTTAGGGTTTAAAAAATTATGTTTTGTATCTATTACAGCATTTATTGGTCAAATACTAAAACTAATAACTTCAAAGAAACGGTTACATGACGGTCTAAATCCATCCAAACTTTCCTGCTACAACTGATGAACAAATGCCCTTCTTCTGTCCACAAAATAAGATTATTCTTAATTAATCTATTAGTTGAGTGACAAACAAATTAATGGGATTAATAACTTAATAATAGGGTTAGGGTTAGTAATTTATTAAGCAAATTGCCAAACACAGCTTTGGGTTTTGGACTGCTGGTCGGACAAAACAAGCAATTCAAATAAAAGATAGGATAAGCTTGATTGATGTGCAGGGAATGCAGGAAGTGTCACAGCAAAAACTACCAAAATAGATGCACAGTATACATAACAGAAGAAGCCCAAAAAATATTATACTGTACATTGCGAGCAGACTTCACCTTGGGATGTTATAATGGGCGTTTTTCTTAATTTTCGTCCTTTAACTAGTATATTCTGTTGTAAAATATGTTACATGTGCTTCCATTTTTTTCATTTAACATTAGTGCTCGTTGCAAGACTTGTTTCAATATTAGTGTAAACTGTCATATCAACATCAATTACTACATAAATGTTTGGTTGGAAATGACCGAGAAAATCTAGGAGAAGTATTACACTGAGTCACACTAAGAGGGAAAGAAAAAGAAAGAACTACCATTATTTGAGAGCACAGTGATGCGAGGAGAGCATAGATTCTGTTGTGACTTGTTTTCCCTACAGAGCTTATTAAAACACACACACACACACACAAGCAAATACAATCTGCTCACAGTGTAAATCATTACACCCAACAAAGTCCCAGTTAGGATAAACTGCATGGGCAGAAAAATATCAGGCGCTACACGGCCAATAGTCAATATCTGACCTCATTAGAAGCAGCACCCACGAGGGGTCAAGTCTCCCATAATTCCTCCACACTTGTCTTCGGCCTCTGCTCTTGATCAGTGCAGTGAGTGACTGTTGTGACAGATAGTCTGGTCTTTTCACGGGTGAAAGGCCTTATCCCCTGCGAGATGATGTTCAGCGTGGGTTTGCCCCACTTACTGTGTAGGGTTCAGCTTGACTTAGACAGATTGTGACTGCAGCAGACAGGCCCTCAGAAGACTGGGGAGTGTGAACTCACAGAGAAGAAGTTCAGTTGAAGAAGAAATGCTGAAGTGAGCTAAACAAGTTGGAAACATCCTGTCAAACGAATTTAGCAAAATGATCTTTGGTCCGTCTAACGTTCAAGTGGAGTAAACACATCCTGATGTATTTACACTGTGTAGGGTTGGTAGTTTGGATATATTCAGAGATGCCTTATATCAGCAAGAACTTTCATGTATCACAGCTGTGAGCCGTGAGCTCAGTCAATCCTCGAGTGATATATGGCAACCTTCATAAGACAAAAAGGATATATCTGTGATAAATGAACCACTTGACCTTGCTGTGGATGTTTAGCATTTATAGTCACAATGCAGTCTGAGATTTATTAACTGTCAGCAGCACATGGTTTTCACCCCAGATATGGAAAGATGACTTTCCTGAGCAGGTCCTCTACTTGCCTTTTCTATATCTCTAAAGCACACAACTCATATATAAGCACGACTCCTGTGTTGGCCAAATAATATGCCACATTATAAATAACTCACTTAATCGGAACAAAACGTTGGTATTGCATCAGTGGGTAGAAATTAAACTGAAAAATTGAAATAAAAACAAAAGTGGTGTAAGGCACTGGATTTTATTTTAAGCTGCAGACTGGCAGACCTCCAGCAGAGTTCTTGGCGCATACAATTGTGTCTCATGTTTATGTAAATGTGTAAAAACAATAATAGCAATAATAGCACCAATTCTTACATTGTTGTCTGACACGTAACTACTTACCTTAATGCCTAACAATGCATACAAATGATGTAGTTGGTCCAGCTTTTGCCTTTTTCTGGTGTATATCCAAAATGCCCTGTTTGTGAAATACAGTGGAAATGCAATGAAGAATTTAGTCACAAAGCCTCACAAGTTTTTTTAAGTCTCGTGTTATTGGTTGTGGGTTGTTAATGTCTTGCAGTGGAAAAGGATTATAGGTCCCCAGAATTGCAACGATATTACACTGACACCAAAGACAACACGTTGATTGCTTCAATACATCTTCAACCCTCATTAACTGCTCACAGTGTCAATGTCAGAAGTATCTTCAGGCCTTTAAATGCCACAGATGCATTAGTTATTTTCAGTCTGCTTGAAAACAACCGAAACACAGACCTGGAAGCTGTAAGAGAGTGTTCTAACCAACAGTTTGCAACTATGGATCCCATTTAGTCTTACCCCAAAAAGATATTTCAAACTCTGTTTAAAACCGTTTCCAGTTGCTGTTAGAGATATTAAAAGACAATAAGCAGGACAGTCCTTAACGTCAGTGTTTGTCCTTTCTGGGATAAAAGCCCTTACTAAAATGTCAGTTTTATTTTTTAGGGTTTTTGGTGAAGTTGCCAGTATATCACTAAGAGCTTGCTGAGCAATTATACCATTGAGGACTAAAGGGAAAACACACCAACCATGTTGCGTATTGTTGCGTGGTTTTAGTCATGGTACAGCAGCTAGGATGTGCGTATGCAGTCAGGGAATGTTATATAATTTCAGTACCTCACATTAAGGATAGGACTATGCTACAGCTACCAGCCATTCTAACAAAACGAGAAAGTAGGTAAAGAAAATAAATGAATGCTTTGATTTAGGCTCGAGAGAGAGAGAGAAAGTTGAGTTTAGTAGCGGGAGGATAGTTGACGGGTGGAAAGTGAAAGAGGGCTTTAAATTTCTTGCTAAGTGCCTTGGGACAGACTTTGTAGTGTAAAGACCCTGTTTTCTTAATTTGATTGCCTCTAAATGCTTCCTGTGACTGTGACTTATGGCCTGTCTGTCTTCTCTTTTATGTTTGCTGTTGACAGAGAGCTGATCTGGCAGTGGCTCCCCTCGCCATCACGTACGTGCGTGAGAAGGTTATTGACTTCTCCAAGCCCTTCATGACGCTGGGTATAAGTATACTTTACCGCAAGCCAAACGGGACCAACCCTGGGGTCTTCTCCTTCCTCAACCCCCTCTCGCCCGATATCTGGATGTATATTCTGCTGGCTTACTTGGGTGTCAGTTGTGTGCTGTTTGTCATAGCCAGGTAACATGTCACTTGCAGCGATCACAACTTCACACAGTCAGACACATGCGTAGCTGCCGTGGCTCAGCCTCGTTCATCTGACTAACACCAGGCTCATCTCTGTAATTGCAGGATGTGTGTCCTGAGCTCACTAACTCACTCATAGTGAAAGCTTACCACTCAGTGACAGTGCTAACGCTAATCAATGGTCATATATCAAAGCTCAGACTCGATGTCATTGCTGTGGAATGTGTCGAATGCAGTTTAACCATAAAGAATCACATAAATGTCTGCCTTCTTCCGCTGTTAGACATTCAGAAAGAATGGATTTCTGCTTATAGAAAATCTTCACATTGGCGCTTGGCATGGCTGCTAGGTTACTCCTGGCCTGCTTCTACTTACATCAGTATCAGTAAATAAAACTACAGGCGATACCCACATATACAGGAACACAGACCTTACACAGAGAAGTTGTAGGCCTATCAGCCATTTGAGGGTTGTGTTTGTGTCTGAGAGAGTGGCAGAGAGGTTGTGCACTCATATGGATATGTGTGTGTAAGTTTAAGTGTGGGCTGTGTCGTGCTTGATGTGAACACTGCTGCTCCTCTCGCAGCTTTCTCTCACTGTCCTGTGTCTCAGAGTTCATGCTGTCTTTTCTTTTCTCTTGTTTCCTTCACCTTGCTCCAAATGCAGCTATAACTCCCGAGTTCACTTTTCTCTGCTTGTTTTGGTTCACAGTCTTCCCAACAGCAAAAAAAAAAGTCATATGGCGTTATAAACAGCAAGTAAGTAGAGTTTTGAGCTGTCATCATACCAGATTAGACATTTTGTTGGAAAAGCACAGCCGAATCTAGTGCTTCTCCTTGTAACCTTCGTTTAGGATGATGATCTGATGATCTGGACTCTTTGTCAAGACTAACCTTCTCTGCTGCAGCTGAGACTCCAAAAAGAAATCTGTCCAGACTACTTTGTTATGCTGTCTTCCAAAGCATAAAGAGCTGTTGGATATCACATTGTCAACATCTGTCTTTTTCCCCCGTGTTATTTTCTGTAGTTGCTTTGGATTACTCTCTTACTTCTGCACCAGAGTTATCTTATAAGTGGGGCTATGACCTGCAATTTCAGGTCCCTTACTCAGACAAGTTCAAATGGCATTGCACTTGTTCAAAGCAAGTAAATCCAAGGAGGGAGTGCTGCAGAGTTTAATTACACCGCTCCAAACATGCTTGTTGTGAACATTTCTGAAGACATACAAGGTTCTAGGACTCACTCTGAGTTGCACGAATGGTGCTGGTGATGGAAAGTGATGACACTGTACAGTTCATAAGGGCTATGTTGAGTTCTGTACAGGGTTAGGGAAGTATGGGTAGATCATTGTACTGATGTGTAGTAGGAAGCCATAATAAAAATGAAGGAACTCATATTATAATTGTTTTTTAGATCAATTCTATAAATAATCAGAAACTTCTCTAATGGTACACTGAGCCCTAACCATAACTGTAAGAAATGGATACAAGCTGTATAAGGTTATTTGCTTTTGTGTTCATCTACCCTACAGATTAGTTTGGTGATATAGCCGACATCAAGAATGCTTTGGCTGGTGAAACGACACAACACATTATTTGTACCGATTGTCTTTTCTTTTAGTGTCTTTGCTCAGGCAAATTCTCTCCGTTGATAAAACAAGGCCAAATGTTTTGAGGGCTCGCTCACTTAATCTAGTGGCTCGTGCTTGTGGCTGCCGTTTGAATGGTGAATGGTTTGAGTGGCATGCTGAGGGAAAAAAAGAAAAAGAAAAAGTACATGTTAACCCTAAAACTTTTGGGAAAACATCGGCTCTCTTGCAGCTGCGACCCGACAGTTTTACTGTTAACCTTAATGAGTTTTCCAATGTTACTGGCGATATGATCACACAAGAGAATAAAAAGCAGCAACTGTCATCTAAGTTGGCTCAGAATATGCACCTATATGTATTTAATATCACAATAAGTAAGTGTTTGGGTAAGTGTATACATTTTCCCCTCACTTTATCCCTTCTTTTCTCCTGTATACACAAATGCATGCTGGGCTACAGTTGCATGTTTTTTGCTGTAGAGTGTACCACATAACAGTCTCACAAAAGTTAATAAAATGAGAAGTCTAAAAGGCAGATTACGTATTCTAACAGAAAATGTAGACATCCCTCCACCATGACAGAATTATGTGACGATGTGTATATGTTTATAATGTACTGCCAAACATTATAGGTTAGTCCGAAGAGCACGTGCGATTGAACTATAATAGTAGTGTACATGTCAAATGTCTTTTCACTCTCCTCCTCCAGTGGTATTAAGTCATGCAGATAGTTTTGGTTTTATTTGCTCATGTTATTTGTCTCTGAGATTTCTACCATCACTCCAATACAATAGAGGTAAACAGAAATTTAACTAGGGACATGTTTTACCAGTAAGAGTGTCCGTTGTTCTAGATAATCCACAGACCTAAATGTCAGCAGTTTTCAAACTTCATTCTACAGAAGAAAAAGTTCCTGTTTAAACTGGAAAGCTCTGGGACAACCCAGAGACAGATATCTAAAAAAGTAAAACATCTACATGGCTAGAAACCACAAAAAGTAAGTGAGTGAACTGAATCTTTAATAAAGTCATGAGATCAGTTAAGTGTGAAAACTTTATACGCTAGCATATGTATTTGATTGTATTTTTTGTTGCTCCAACAAGTCTCCTAAACTAAATGTCAAAAATGTTTATTTCTCATCTTCACACGCATATTTGTGTTTTCTGATCTGACGCCCCTACGGCAGAAAGGTTAGAAATGTTTTCCTTCATCTGTCACCGCTATGGTAAATGTTGGACTACTTGGTTAACCACATTGTTGCCTGTTGATAGGAAATGGGAAATTGATCAGCTGACCCCAACCGAGTTTAGTGGCTCTGAATGTCACACTACTTTTGACTTTGCTTCTGACAGATGTGTCATAATTCATATTATAGGTTGTTTCTCAGTTAAATGCAAACATACAGCAGTTTTTATCCATTTACTTAAAACAACCAATGCTATTTTCTCTTGGGACAATCTCTGCTTTTTCTATACACCCAGGTTTCTTTCAGATATACAGTATATAAAAAAAAACAACCTTCCTCTACATAATCCTTTCATGGTGGGGAAATGTATTTCTTTTACTTTCCGTTCAAATACATCATTTGTATGTTAAGAAATCACACTCATTTCACATTTGTGAGACCAACCTGTCTAGCACATACATTTGATGGGCAAGATCTATTACTCCAAGGTTAAGTTCCACTGTGCATTTATTTACTTTTTATATATGTGTATGTACACATTGCACATTTTATCTCTGTATGCTTGTGTTTGTGCTGTGTGACTGACTGTTGAGTGGAAGAGTGAGAGACTGACAGTGATGAATACTAAGACTGATGGACACAGTGCTAGAGTTAGAGCAGCTTCTCTCCCATGTGTAGGCCTATTCCACATGGGTGCACAGCTAAAACCACATGATTACTCTGTTGTATTGCCACCTGCCCTGATATCTCCGCTTACTGATGTTAATGTTACTGGTTGTCGTTGCTTTTATGTTCCGTCTAATGACGTCAATAGCACTGCTGCTGCATCTGGCACAGGCGATATAACAGCTGAAAAAAAACCTACACCACACCTCTGCTCAAGCCTATGCATTAACACCTCTGCATCCTACACATCAAGAGATATTTTTTAAGATAAGCGAGAAGCAGAGGTAAAACCTTAGAGACAGTAATAGATCAGAATGTTTTTGCAGAATATTATTAGTCTTTCTCTAAATAATTATGACTCGTGATAGGGTCATCGAGTTCTCGCCTGTCTTGCTCAAAATTTGAATATTTCTCTGTGTGTGCGAAGTCTTCCTTCCCTCGTCTCAAACTGTAATCTGCCTCTGTCCTCAGTCATAATGAAAAGCCCTTGTTTAAGTGTGTGCTCATATTAAAGGCACAGCCCTCATCATGTGGTTAAAATTCTCCACTGAATCCTATGCAGAAGGATGTTCTCTATTCATGCTTATAGTGTTTTTGTCTCAAAATCTTAGATTTCGAATTCGTAACTGGAGAAGGTTAACAATAATCACTGCACTGAGCATTTAAAATAATTAAGGTCTCATAAAAGGTATGCTGTGCAAATAAATACATTCCACAAATGAGTTAGATAGGAAGCTGCATTATATTAGAGATGGTTGAAGATTCCTGCATGATATGTAAAAGTTAATAAAAAGATGGGCCTGATGGGCAACGCAGATAAACCTGGATACTCAGTGTCATGCTCAGCAGTAATTCTATGACACATCTCTGAGTTGACTGTAGCAGCTGCATTCTGAATGAGCTTTTTTGGTGTGACCTGTTCAACGAACGTTACAGTAGTTGAACTTGCTGGAAATAAAAGTGTGGGGGGGGAAATCTAAACCACTACAACATGCAGAAACGTAAGGAATACTGATCCGGACTGGTCCTTTATTGTACACTGTAGAATTTCGAACATTAGTCCAACACTCTGTAGACTTATAAAGACTGTCATCCTGTGACAGAGCAATAGGACCATTCTGACTCATCTCCCCTGACATTGGTGTTATCATTCGTATCATCGCTGGAGTTTTCTGCAGGATGACCCTGCCCCCATAGAAAGATAAAAGCGCCACATTGTTTCTGCGCCACTCTCTACGCTTTTTTTGTCTGTGCTTATCTCTGTACTGACCTTGCTCAAAGTTTCTTACTCTGCAGCACAGATGACCTGAGATAATGTAAGGGCAGAGTAATTGGATCAAAATGACAGCAAACGGGCCAAGCAGTGCTACAGTGAGAGACAGGTTAAGCTGTGTTGTCTCCTGTAAATGGCGTTGGTTTAGCATTTCCTGACCCAACCAGCAGCAGCAGCAGCAGCAGCAGCAGTCCAGCCATCCACTCTCATGATCTAGCATGGCACTGACAACTTCATTCACGTTTATGGTGAGCGGTAATTGGCTTTTCGCAACATGATTGGAGGAAACACATTCACAGACCTCTGTGGAAGGGAGTGGATGACATAGCCACACAAGCAATGCAAGGTCGCAGTTCAGCTGAACTCAATTTGGCATTGCAAATTGACAAGCAAGCAAATCTGGGGCAAATTGAGTGGGCAGGAGGATTGATTTAAGGCCAAGGATTCTCTTAAAGCAGAAATAAGGGGGACATTCAGAGGTCCTTGAGCTGCACTACACAATATCCTCCTGAGTGTTGCAGGGGTGAAAAGGAATGCCACTGCTAACCACATTATAATTGCAAAATCCATTAGTCAATGACAGGGTACAGTTAGGATGCTGTCATTTTATCGATACAGCCATACGTCTTCATATAGAATAATATATTACAGCATTCAACCCAGCACTACTGTATTTTACCTAGAGGACAATGGACCACAGACACACAGCAGTGTAGCAGTTTCATCTGCATTATCCTCCGTGCAGATGATACATCCACTCGAGGTTATCGTTTTTGACTTCCAGCACAGTAAAAAGGCCCACACTGAGAGTCTACATTATGCATTGCAATTTGATTAGTCAAAGCCTTGTGTCTGTTACACAGCTTGAGTCAAGATAGGGCCCCAATTCCCCCTCTACTCCAGCACAAACCAAATCAGGTCAGGATGCTTAATTGTAGACCAATCAACCTTTACTAATGTAATGTCACTTTTATTTAATATGAATAAATGAGGAATCTCTCTGCTTGAGGAGTGCGTCAGTGAGGGGGAGTGCCGAGGCCTGCCAGATGGGAATGAACCGTTTGATCTGTTGAATATTAATGCTCCTCCAAGATTATAAAGATTATTAGTTATTTTCTCTGCTGACAATGGAGTTATTTTCAGACCCCATCGATTAAATTACTGAGGGAATTGCCTTTGATATGAGCACTCCCACATGAGGAGCCACTTTTGGAATATGAGTGGTGTTAATTTGAGCCCACTCCTCAAGTATTATATGTTATTAAAATGTAAAAACACACAAGAGAGATTCAGATGAGCAGTTATTTAGGCTTCAGATCAGTGAGGAATCTGAATCAACATTTTACAGTAATTCATGTCATAAACTCTTAATTTACTAATCCAATTAACACCATAGCAATCTAAAGTATGTACATGAAGTCACAGCAATGCTTATTTCATTGGGAAGTGTTGTCAGACACTCAGGCATGATTTGCAGTGTCTCTCCTCTGGACATGACTAACTAACCTGTGTTTTCTCTCCTGTCTCCCCAGGTAGGACCGCTCTTGGTCTGTTTGATTGTCTACTCTTGTATCTTTATCCAACTGCAGTAAACGTATATGTGTGTGTGTTCTCTGTTAATTGTCACAGGTTTAGTCCCTACGAGTGGTATAATCCCCACCCTTGCAACCCTGACTCGGATGTAGTGGAAAACAATTTCACCCTGCTAAATAGTTTCTGGTTCGGAGTTGGAGCTCTCATGCAGCAAGGTAGACGCCTCTGCCTGCCCCCCTTTTTCTAGCACAAGTCCCACTTTTTTGCTGGGGGTCAACCTTGCTCTTTGACCAGGCCCATGACCATGCATGGGGGCCTCTGTGCATGATGCTAGACGTTCACTGGTAGAGTCTAGACTTAAGGACTGAGTGGGATTTGAGTGATCTGATCAATGAATGAGGATGGTGCTCCTGCATGCTCCCCTTCTCCATGCTTCATAACTCCTTTCCTCCCCTCCCTCCTCCCCTTTCCCTCATATACACAGCCATCTGAACAGGTAAGCTTACCCGCCCACAATACCTGAGATGTATCACATGGTTGAGATTGAGTGAGAATGTGAACTCAGCAGCTTTTACCCTGCCTGTTTGGCTTTGTTTTCTGCTGGCAAACCAATGCCATATCTTCTCAACTAGTTGGCATCTTTAGACTGAGAAAAACAAAACAAAGTTGAATGTTATTAAATGATTTGGCCTATATCCTACAATGCATGTCAGAATGGGAGATATGTTGCATTTTAAATTAGTGTTTCTTCCAAAGCAATTGACAATATATTTATGACAGGTAGTGATGACTTTAGGGCCTGGAAAGCATCGTGCCCGTATGCCCTTGCATCTGAACAGTGCAATGCATATTTGCTGCTATAGTCAAAGCTGCTTTAAAGGGACAATACAAAAACAAGTCCTTACTTATAGTGGTGTCTAGCCATACAGATAGTTTTGGTTTTTTGACATTTTTTGCCTCCACCCCAATACAATGGAGGAGAAAGGAATGTAATTTGTGATGCTGACAATATTGAAAGAATATACAAAACCAAATAATAGCTGTAGTCTTTTGAATGATATAATCAACCTTATATTAATACTTCATTTCTACATTTAGATATTTAGATGCCATTTGATTCCTTTCTGAATTTCCCAGGAGGTAATTCCCCTAATTTAAAGAGTACATTTTAGGATTCATCAGTTCAGACAGAAAATTGATGTATCCAATATGAAAAGATCTAAAATCTAATTCTCATCTAAAAATCAATAGAAACTCAAAATCTTTCAGTTGCACAAATTGTTTTAATTCACACACCAAACATTTAAGATGAAAGATGAAAGATAACTTCTTGAACTTGAACATTTGTGAAAGTTTATTTTTGACCTTGTAACCAATAATCTTAAGTCAGTGTCCAGTAGCTTTCTCTTCCAACCATACCTCATGGTCTTCCTCAGAGACCATACGGTATACAGTATTACCCACCTGTTAACACTTCCATACTTATGTCACGTGATGACAGCTGAGCAGAGCTAGTCAGTGGATATTGGAAAAAAATATCAGGCCTAAGTTAAGTCACTTACAATAATTGTGTACTGGTTAAATTTCACAACCAGTACAGTTGATTGGCTATTATATTATCAACAATTCTTTCTAGAACCAGTGTTCCACGTACTTTGGAAAATCCAAATTTGACCTCCATGATATTGGGGTGGAGGGGGAAACCTCAGAGGCCCATGTGTTGAAACAAGCCAGACTTTGTGTATGACTAGATACCACCAGAAGTTAGTAGTTTGGACAAAATGACAGGCAGTTTATTTCTAGGATTTAGTAGCTGATAACTCTTGTTGGCTTGTTGCATGCTGACTTTACCGCATGCTTACTAATATCCCCAAATTAGCTCCTACGTTTTTTCATAGATTTTTTTTTCATTTGACTCCAAAGATGTCAATATTATTTCAATAATTTGAGATCAAAATATGATAACTGGTTTGAAACAAACCTCATGCTGACAAAAAACAACTAAAAGCTTCTATGAAAATTGAGCATAAAACATTTTAATATCTAACAAGGATCTCTTCAAGAGAATGTAAATGACATGCATTTTAGCTATTAGATACAGTCCAGAGATGTGTTGTTTCTTTGAATAGCCAGCAGACCAGATGTGTAGGGTTGACCATTTGAGAAGATGTGGCTGAGGGCCAGTAAACTGTGGTATTTGACTGGACGCACACAGTGTCTGCATGGCTGGTCTGCACTGTAGAGAGGCTCCCCTGCCCGGCGGCTTGCCCCGCCCCCAGAAAACTGTGGGATGTGCTGTTTGGTCATGACGTTACCTTGGGTACATGACAGTCAGCCCCAACCAGGCTCTGTTTGGGTTGACATGCTTCTCTGAGTAGGTCAGCCCTCTTTCCTGTTCTGGTTTCTGAGGTGGAACAGCATAAAAAGCTCGGAGCTGGTAACATGTTCCACTTTGAAACAAACATGCATCTGATAGCCGGCCATGAACAACAGAGAACAAGCAGAATCCACTGATGAATATAACAGACGGTGCTGCTGAATGGTCTGTGTTCATGCCTGCTACCGTGATTTTTGTTCTGGGTTGTTGTTTGAAAAAATGGGCAAAGTGGGTGGCTGGTGGCCGTGATGGGTGACTTTGAAACTGTGGCTAAGCCATGTCTGGTGGCTAATAAAAGATTAAGCAGACAATGTGTTTTTAGGAAATGAACCACTGATTAACTTCTGTTTTAAGTAATAACATAGACACTAGTCATTGTTTTGTTGTTAGTAGCAGGTCCAACCTTAGCTTTTTGAGGGCTCTCTGTGAAAGGGGCATTTAGGGAAGGCCTCTATGTTTAAATCATAGATTTAATAATAGGTTAACTGCTTAAGGTAAGGCAAGCCAAGGCAAGTCTACTCCTTTTAACAACAAGGCAATTCAAAGTACTTCACGGTAGACATAAAGACATATAAAGATGATATTAAGATACAAAAGAAACACTTCAGTTAATACATAGAGACACAATGGGTTTTCAAAAGAATATCATAGAAGAGAGGATGCAAAGGCTAAATGGAATGTAGTGCAAGATATAAATCAACAGCCCCAAACTAAATCTAATAAAAAAACAACTCAAGTCTTGGTTTTTGTTCCAGATGTGTGGTGCAAAGAAAGTAAATGCGGCTTCTCCATGTTTAGTTTTTTTCTGTGGTTACGTTAAGCTAATGAACAGCCATCAGCAAATTAAAATAAAACACTAATGGCAAATGGTCAATGTTCCCAAAGTGGGACACAAGGCTGTGGTTGTACTAGCTCCTATTTGTGCCCGAATGCACACACAGCTGACACACAGTCTGAATATGAGCAGGTTTTTTAAAGAGACCATGATTGCCACGGGTCTGGATGGTATTTGAAAGTGCTTGGATAAAAAAAATTGATCATTGCACGTGTTGGCATTAGCTAGCATCAAGTAAAACAACCACAACTAGCCATCAGGAGAAAATAATGAATAAATGTGTTGCTCACTGTTGGAACAATTAATTATGCAATGCGTTCATGTTCACACCACAAAACTATAGCCTTTGTTTTGCATCATCTCATATAATGTTGTGTAGCCTACAGCACCTGCTCTTTACTTTGATATTACCGAGCTTGATATGTTTAGACTAAAGAAATTACTATAATTCTATGTTTTTGACCCTTGCCACATCACATACTTCATGTTGACCCGCCTAGGAGCAGTCATGATTGAAATTAGAGTGGTAGACTAATATGAGGAGTAGTCAGGAACAGGATAGCTAGACAAAGGTGAGAAAATTATGGTTTATAGCTAATTGCACTGGGTTTAATTTGAATGTTGGAAAAAAAAAAACACATTGTGAATTTTATTCAGTGTATTTGTGTCTCTCTGCATTGAAATTAGGTCCAAACCATCTCCCTCCCCCGGTCAACAGAAAGGGGAGCCTGTCTAGAGGCTGATATTTATGTCAGTAGAATCTGAATTTGAACAATTTAGATCTGAAGTTTAATTTCTCAACTTTTTCTCAACAAAAACTGAATCTGAATAGGATCATTTGAATTGAATTTATTTCTTTGAAACTGAATTCCAATAAACTTGAAACTGAATGTGATATTATGCATGTTGTTCCTCAACTGTAAGTCGCTTTGGATAAAAGCATCTGCCAAATGAGTGTATGTAAATGAAAACAAATTTAGTAGCAACTTAAGCTGTATTTGAGCCTCACTAAAAATACACCTCTTTATGTACTTTCACTTATAGTTCTTGTCAGTTTCAAGTTCTTTTCAATTCAGCACGATGTTCATTTAGTAAAGTTTGGTGAGGAAAATAGCCAATAAAGCAGGGTATGCTTTAGGGTGGGACTACCTTATGGGTATTCAAGCCGAACGCCATCAGTTTTCAGCATGGTGAAGCATGACAGAAGGCACCATTCTCAGGTTTGTATAAACATATGTAATATAAGAAAAATATTGATGTGCAAGTGATAGAGTGCCTGTTAGGCTACCTTGTGATTGACAAGTCGCTCCCAGGAGCGGACTGGGGGTTTTTGGAGTTTTTATTTTTCAGTTTCTAATGTTTTAACTTTATGATCCGCAAACGCGCTGCGAACGCTGCCTGTGAAATCTGATTGGCTCAACGGCACCGATCAAAGGAGTTTATTTCCATTTTGGGCGAGTTCATTCTCCAAACTTTTTGTCGGGGTGAACTCAGCGCTGGGTGTGTGTGATAGGCACAACAGAGATGGTGAATGTGGTGAAAAGAGAGAAAGAGGTAAAAGAAATGTGTGGTGCAGAAAAATTAAGAATTAAGAAGAAATAAATGTTGGCACAAGGCAGCTAAATGCGCCAAATTAACCAACTTCTTGGCAGAAGGGTTGCTTTAGCAGGTGAGGAAGGACCCTGCGCAGGGAGAGACAGGTGCACGATTGGGAGGCTAATGCATTTATTATATACTGAAATTATTTATATATGAATTTATGTACAGGCATATACATTATGCTACATATATATATATGTTATAAACAACAGTTTGCAATGTGAAATCGTAAACGACTCAAAAAAATAAAGGGAACACTAAAATAACACATCCTAGATCTGAATGAATGAAATAATCTCATTAAATACTCCTTTCTTTACATAGTTGAATGTGCTGACAACAAAATCACAAAACAATTATCAATAAAAATCAAATCTATCAACCCATGGAGGTCTGGATTTGGA